GTCACAATAACCTTGTTTCCAACACCGGGTGACCATTGGATAGACAGCCCTTTTCAGAGCCAGTCCAATGAAGAATCAATGCTCTGAAAGAGCTGTCTATCCAATGGTTACCCGGTGTAGCGAACAAGGTTGTTATGACGAAAATACACTTCCTAGGTACAAGTATATGAATGAACTGACAAAAGATTACCGGATATGCATGCCTGACGAGCGGTAAAAACCGTGAAACCGGTCGTGTGCTTCCAGGAAAATGTTGTTCAGTCATTCACGTACTATTTATTATCAAATATATATATATATATATATGAAACGAATAGGACCACGAGAAATACAACTATCTATTGTTGGACGTAATGAATAATATCACCCGTATTATGCACAAGGATCAGCGAACAACCTATTCCATTGCAACTGTTGGGTTTTCCGCACACCAATTTTAGTTCATGCAACTATGAACCTCACTTTTTCGCCCGTCGACTTTGATCACGTTTTACCAACGTACAGAAGGTGAATGAGTGCAAAAATTGAGCGTATCTATGCAAAGTGAAGAGATGCATCCAAGGTCATGCATTATTTACGCTACCCAGCACTACGTATCTCTACCTAAGCGAGAAGCCTAACGCGGTTTACATATTCAGGCCACCTGGTCAAACAGTTGTTTACTGAAGTCCAAAAACTGATTTCCCAGGAACGACAGAATATCTAGATCCGGAACCGGCTCCTGCATTCATTTAGTGGGTTCTTTTTATCGATCGAACTATTTCCTTCTTTGCAGTATCTCTGGGGTGTATTCTCCAAGACCTAACATAGATGGCCAAAGGGGAAGCGCAAGCAAATGGTCAATCAGCTGATCTTGTGCGGCTGAGCGTTTTCCGACTCAGTTTGAATCTGCCGTTGAACAAATCCCACACTGTATAGTTTGCTGTTGGTCGAGACACACTAACCATCACGGAAAATTGGTATTAAATTTCGTTCTACCCCATACTACAGGTAACTGAAAGGTTGTCGTTGTCACACCCTGGAGTCCATCTGTTGGATTACCGTCGTTCCTGAGCGCCAATTATAAAATAAAGTGCTACTTATCACAATCGACTGACCAATCCTCAAAAATGATTCGAGTTCGAGCCGTAACGAATCTCTCTATCTCTGAGGTAAAACTACTTGGTAGTTGTCATTTCTATTTCGAGCACAATTAAACTGCACTTGAATCACCGCAATTCGTGATATGTGGGTGCACAGAGAATCAATTGTTTCCAGGCAAAATAGAAAGCCCAGGGGAAAATTCCATTGATTGCGGACTGTATTGACCTGTTTACACAATTCAGATGGCTCCTGCTGGTAAGACCAGTTTCACAGAACACACAGATCGCATGCTTTGTGATAGAAAAAAAGATGAGTGCATCAAAGGGGGATTTGAGTTACATTGTCCAAACCGCGTTATCTAGATTTTGTGAAAGATGTTTGATGATGTAAACCTCACAATCGAAGGCACTTACTTACTGACTATTCACACAGGGTAACAGGCAGACTAACCATTGGGTCTGTGAGTGGGAAGCCATTCAGTTAGACGACAGATAGGTTGAATAAGATCAAAATTCCGCAGCTATAGTTCATAGAATGTCCAAACTTTAATTTGCTCAGTGTGTTATCATCAATTGTTACAGAAGTGTTCGGACAACAGTAGTTGAACCGGTACACTTCAGGGAAATACGGATGAGATCAGATGAAGCTCAATTAGTGATAGGTGGGAGTATCGCCTTCAATTAATGTGCAAACTGATTGGAGCATATTAAGACCGGTCAATCACAAACAAACCACAAAAACACCCTGACCAACTGGATCAGAGAGGGAGAATCTTATTTTCCAAACATTCCGAATCTCGTAACTCCCATCAACCACCATCGTGGTCACCCACCCACCCACCCCCGTTGCACCTCGGGAAATGCTCCCCCATATGCGACCAAGCGTCTCAAATAACCAATTCTGCTGAGGAGAAAGCCTTACTCACTGCCAGCTCGTGTTGCGAAGGGAGAGGACGAAAAGCCAACAACATCCGGGGAGCTATAGCCGGGTTGGTGAACCTTTGACTGTTCACTTAGGCGAGCTGGCTAAAATTCCTGATTCTAATTCAACCAAGAAGAGGTGTAAGAACCACAACACCCACATCTTTCTGGTTGCGGCAGTGGTCACTGACTTGATTTAGCATCCAGGTATGTTGGGTATCTTGGATGTTTGACAGCGTCCAAAGGAGGTATGATCCAATCAACTGGACACTAGCTCCCGCTGCACTGCGGGTCAGGATTTGGTTAGCCGAAGGCTCGGATTGTGAAGTCCCTAAGAAAATTCAGCTGCCTTGGCCTGGACAACCTAGCAATACCGCACCTTCGAGCGAATCATGAATCGTTTTTCTTTTGGATAAAGCTTACTGTCAAGCGTGTGTGAATATATATATATATATATATGGATGGATTTGCATACCTGATGAACTACATTCAACTCAAACTGGTAGTGTACTCCAACGGAAGTTATGTCCAATCATCCAGGTACGCAATATTTCATTATGATGATTAGTATTTTTGATATATCATATAAATAGCATATGCATGCATCGCACCCAGTTTAAGCCACCTAGTTTGAGGATAAATAACTCACAAGCGCAATAAAACACTCGTTAAAAAAAATCAAAACCCGTCAATCATTAGGTCCGGATACGAGGACCTAGTATTTACATTTTGAGATGCATCAGTGGATTTTTTCACCGGAAATACTACTCCAATCCGACAGTACGTGAAAAAAAAACAGTCTATTCAATAC